AAGACGAGAAAGTTGGATGTATGATGTTCTACCTTGAAGTGATCCCCAAGTCTTTAGCATGATCAAAAAACGTGTTTCTGAAGTCATTATAAATAAATGTATTCAGTTCGCACCATTAAAATATTTTCACTGATTGTCCCTTACATCCATCCTGCCCCATGTCAACATTCCATTACATTGACCAGTTAAACGGAATAAAGACGTAATGTAATAATGCTGCTAAGACATACAAGATATCACTAATTGATTAAGAGATCCATTAAATGAGGCTGAGATCGGCTACTTAAAATATTTTATTTTATTTCAACTGACGAGATTGAGACCATCTTGAATTATCTCAAATGTATACAATTAAAAATGTATGGCTGGATATTTCTTTTAAAAAGAATAATTTGCAATTAAGTAAAAAAATCTCAAACATGTTTCAAAACATTGTGATTTACACATGGTTTTGTGTAAGCGATGTTCATCGTAATTGAGGGACTTAAGCCTGAATTTGCCTCAAGTTTTGATCCAGGAGCAGCATGGATTCACGACTAGTCGCTCAACAACAACCAATCTTTTAGCCTTTAAAGATTACATAATGTCTTCCTACTCAATGAGTTTAATTATGTGTGTACGGCTGGTGCTTTGTATCTTGTTTGCAGCTAGGCTTTCGATAAAGTTGATCATGCTATAGGCCTACTAATATCGTTGTAAGATATTATATTATATATTATATTAAATAAGATAAGATTATCATGCGTTATGGATACCTTGTTATCATGGTTGAGAAGCTATATACAGGGTGCAGCAAAAACCGATTTATTTTCTGAAGTGCACTGTTCAGCGACAGGTTGTCTGAGGGTGGTGGGGGTAGGCTCTTTGGAAAGCCTACACGATGCCATTATCTGTAGTCATAGATCAGTAGTCAAATGAGGAACGTGCGTTTGTTATCGAGTCGTTTAGAAAAATATTGATTCAGTCATTGCAACTCAGCGCCATTTCCATGCATTCTTTAAATTAGGTCGACATGGAGAGGTCCTGTCCTGATTATCTGTATGGATAATCAACAAAATTAAACATATTAATAAAAAAATAATCTGTAAGGATAAGAGTTAAGATCGATCCTCAAAATTAGTGTAACCCAGCGGGCAAACATGTTCAAAGCAGATGCTTGTTAGACGGGCTTGCGAGGACTGTTTCCACAGCAGCACGAACCCTATCGAATGCTAGTTGTGTGGCATCCGATTTGATTTTGGACGGCTTGTCAGCTTCTTTTTGAACGCAGAAGCCGTTGTTCTAAAGTTTGTAACCCACCACATGATTGTGCTACTTGACGGAATCCACGTCGCCCGTCGCCCTATTTAAAAGAACAACTGTGTATTAAATATATAGATGCACGGAACTGCCACTGAGTTGCAATAACTGAATTACTTTTTAGATTCCACTCGATCTATTTACAATACTACCACCTATATAAGCCTAGCCTATATATAACCTAGCCTGTTTGTCATCAATTGCTCTATGGCATCGTGTAGACTTTCCAATGAGCCTAACCCCACCCACCACTCTTAGACGACCTGTCGCTGCACAGTGTGATGCAGAAAATATATCGGTTTTTGCCGCACCCTGTGTCTGGGAGACACTCAACAATCATATTCGCAAAAGGTTTTTCTGAAATTATCAATGTGATATTAGGAGCTCCACAAGGCTCGCTCCTGGGACCCTGCTTGTTTTAATTTATTTATGAACGATATTGGTGAGGTAATTGAGTGCAAGTTTCCCTTGTTCGAAGATGATACTAAGCTTTTTCATGCTCTGAATTTCCCGGAACATGGTAACATACTGCAACGCTCTATTGATAATGTCAGTATTTGGTGCACTAAATAATATGATGCAACTTAATGCTAGTAAACGCATGGCTTTTTCTTCTACCGGAGGGATTCCATCTTGCAGATTGATTATGAAATTAATGTTATTAGTATAAACGTTGTGAGACTGTTAATACCATTGACTGGATTGGATTAATAGTCAAAGGTTAATACTGTTGGTGACCTAACACATCTCTTACTCCTGATGACCTGAGTCCCTGAGTTATTTTTTGTGTTTTAATGTCTGACTGTGGGTATATTATATTGTTTTTTGTAAATTAAAGTTTAAATGTGTAAAGTGTTTCATATTGGTCTGTAGAAAGGTTGTTGCATTCCAAATAACCATTTGGAATTCAACAGCTTTTCTTCTCTTAACAACCGTCAAGAGAACCCAAAATCAATTTTAGAATACACCATATTCATCCCAGTCCTAACTTACCGTGGTTCAGTAACTTAGTAACCAGGTGGTCACTAACCAGTGAATCCGAAAAACGAGATTTGATTTTTGGTTTTGCATTAGATGATGCGAGATTCTTCTAATGGTATGACTATTTTTCAGGATTAAGATGTAGGAAAAATGTGTGGTGACATTTCTCTGAATGAATGGTAAATTAATAAAAACTATTATTGATAGTGACGAGTCATGATCCGGATAATATAGATCCGGGTCAGAGGATCGGAACGAAAATATAAAGATATAAGAGATAAATAAACATATAAAGAACCTCGTTTACAACAGATGAAAACCTAGTATGTAACCAGGTGCAACATTGTATAAGTATATTTCTGTAATCGTTTTTTGGTGGTTTTACAGTTCATCAAGACAAAAGACGAAAGAATGTATTGACATTTTTTCTTTACAGTCCAAAGTAATGAGCAAATAACAGTACGTTAATGATCAGCCAAGCGCGATCATATTTAGCACACCTGGCTGCACTCAACCAGCCTCGGGAGTCTCAAACTGACAAAGCTTAGGTAAGTATTTGACTGGAAAATAATACCAGAGGAGATTTTGTTTCATAGCCAAAGTAATATTAAGTGTAAGCTTTCGTAAAAACGAATGATTCAAAGTTTAACATAAAACTACAGAAATATCAATCTGTATTTGCATTAACTACCTTTGTGTATTTTTATACCTCATGGGTAAATATTGATTTCTAAAGTCAGCTTATATATGTTTATAGTAATCAGATTTATGGATTCGTATTTATTTCCTGAGTATATGTAGGTAATGTAACAAAAGGTTAAGTATAATAGTTACAAAATTGGATATAAAAGTGAATCGTTCATAATATATTATTCGTAACACACTTAAACATATTAAACAAGTTAAAAGCAAAGATAAATCCAATGTTTAATTTACGAAGCTGCAACAGAAAAGCTTTTTTCTTACATCGTCAAAGCACGAGGATATAGCATTGTTTATTTTACTTTACATTTGCTTTCAAAGACAATTGTAATGCTTTGTTACTTTTTATTTGTGTTGATTCTGGATTTATTGCTGAAACACTCTAGCAATTGCCAAGAGACTATTTTGTCAAAATTTTTAGTAATAAGTGTTAAAAGTTGTGATGGGTAAAGAATTTCCCAACACTAATATAGATGTTCAAGTTGATAGAACAATTTTTTAACATGAGAAAATACTGTTAGAAACTGTTAAAATTAAGAAAAAGAAAAATTGAAATTTTGAATTATAATTAGTTAGTAGTTAGCCTACAAGACCTACGCTAGTAATCTATGTTTGAAGCTAGATAGTAAAGTATTTTGAATTGTTTAAACTCAACTTGTTTGAACTGTATTATTTAACTATAAGTTTATTAAGTTAGGTTTTAGATTATTGTTGCATTTTTGTCAATAGTTCAACATATCGATGATATAACATATCGATTACACCGACGTAATTACTAAAAAGCTGCTTATTTTTATTAGCTTGAAAACAATCTGGAAGTCGTTTTGAGAGGTTATCTTCACATGAAAAGTATTTTTATTTTCTTGCTTAATGTTTTAGTTGTTGATAAAATGTGAAAAAATCTACTTCATTACACGGTCTAAAGTGTCTTTTCAACCCTCGCTCATTGTTTAACCTCTATCGCCTCAATCCTACAAACAGAGTTTGGATTAAAAGGTCATTTTATGCCATAATGATGAAATATATGGTTTTAGCGAATTTCCCTATAGGGAAGTAGCTATTACCGTAGGTCTCATGGTAAGACCTAAGCCCAGGACCGATTTACTTTTTCATTTTGATGTCCCCAGAGGCCAAAAACACCATTCGTTCAAATTTTTATATATCTATATATATATATATATATATGTGTGTGTGTGTGTGTGTCCATCCGCACGATAACTTGAGCAATTTTTGTCCGATTTTGATAAAATTTGGTTTGAAGGTGTAAGGCGGGATAAACTTGAATGAGTTCGCGAACCAGCATGATCGGACTATGGGAACGGGGGTTTATGGGGGGTTTTATGGGGTAAAAAAAGGTTTTTCCCATTTTTGACCCTAAAAACACAAAATTTCACAATTTCTTTTTAAACCATTTTGTAGAGCTTAAAAAAACAAATAATTTAGTATATTGAAGCGTTATTATGCGCCTAATTGTTACGGAGAAAATTCAAAAAAATTGTAATTTTAAAATTCCCATGTTATTCTTATGGAGAATAAGTCAACTGTTGTAGTTTGCTTGTTTATGAACATATTTTGATAAAAGTTGGAAAATACATTAATTTCTTACTAAACCACAGTACCTTTTAATATTCTACATAAAATAACTTTTTTACCCTCCCTGTTGCAGCAAACCTAAGTACTCATTAAACTAATTATGTTTAAATAGGGAATAAATGTGATATTTTTAAGGAGACATTTTAGTTTAAATCCAATCAGGCAAATGGAAATTCGCTAAGTCTGCAGGTTTGCTGCGGCGGGGGTATTTACTTTTTGAGTGAGGTTACCAAAAAAGAATATTTTAACAATGACCTTTACCATTTAATTATGGACACCTGATTTTTATCTGGTTGAGTTTTACACAATCAGATAAACCTATCAACTAGTTGTTATCTCGTAAATACAAAGGTTGTGCAATAATTGTTCACAAAACGATCACATCTGTATCTGTCTGTATCTGTATCATGTGTATCTGTTGCACTATGACGGCCTACAACACACTGTCACTGGTGGTGGTAGGCCTGTTGTCGGTCATAGGCATGGTTGACTTATTTGGATCTAAAGTGGTGAGTAACGTTAGAGTAGAGTTTGAGTAGCTAATTAAGGGACAGAGTTTCCTCATTATATGTAGTCCAGCCAAACTGTAAGACAATGTGGTGCTAAGGGGAAACATTTTCATTCCAGTTAATCCCGTTCAAAATAATAAAATAAATTAAAAATACTGGTTCTTAATTTAAAGCAGCAAGGTCATCTAACTTACCTTGATCTTAAATAGAGTATTTTGTAAGCATCTCATGTAAAAATTAGTTTTAATCAAACATACGGACCAACAGATAACTGTTTAAACATGACGTACAATATAGTAATTTCACACAATCGCATTGTAATTTTGCAAACAAAATTGTCAGTTTTCCGAAGGACCCACTATGACATTACAATTCACATTACACCCGTTGTGAAATAATCAGAAATCTTATCACCCATTTTTTACAAATTCAAACTGATAGGTCAACTTATGGTAAGCCAACATGTCTTATGTCACAAAAAGTAAGGAATAAAATGTAGCGTTGACACTAGCACCTTATGGGAGTGACTCATTCAACGATGATCTGTTCGAATAGAAAATAACCGATTTCACCAATCTGATGCATACTTTCTCCCATTAGCTTGGAAACAGCCTTTATCATGGGTAAGTGATGAGAGTAACTACATTTAATAGGTAAAATAAAAAAGGTTGCATTTGAACCGTATTTTTTACAGGAATAGGGAGTTGCACTATTTTGTTTAGAATTATAAAGACTGTTACAGAAAAATTTCAATCAGAATTGGTGTTATCTTTTTTGGAAAATCAATTTTTCCGTTTTTATGGGAAAAAACATAAGTTACAGTAACTTTTGAGCCGTACATTTTCCAGCAATGGGGACACTATATTGTAGGAATTATAAAGACCATCACATAGGCCTGCTTATTTCCCTCAGCTTTTTTCCAAAATTCCGATTTTATATAACTTTAAAGTTTTTTTTTTAAGATAACATTATCAACAAAAACGTTTGAACCTTAATTTTTCAGGATGGGACTTGTACAATTTTGTTCATAATTTAAAGGGCTACAACATACAAAATGTTTATCAAAATCGTTTGAGCCACTTTCAAGACAGTAAGATCTTTTATTATTTTATGGGGTTTTATGGGAAAATCACAACTCTTTAGCTACAAAATCCACAGTTTTTTAACTTACCTGGCCAAAAAATACAAAAAGTAGCAGCCGACGAACTTTTTCCTGTCATATTTAAAAACTCATTTAAAAGTACCGACTTTATTTGAAGATTTAAAATAGAAAATATTAACTCTTAAGCTTTTTATTAGAACCAATAGTGTCATAGACTTATTGACTTCACTCATACGAAGTTTAAACCATATAACTTTAGTCTAAGTAGGCTAAATGTCGAGTAATTTTGAAGCGGAACATTGAGTTTTGGTGCCGTTTTCATTGACATCTAGCGCTTCTAACCTAAATTAAGATGGCGGACCTGGCTTCACCTGCTTTAATGTTAGTAATCTCTTAGGCGTGCTCTATCTATTGGTCTTTTGTGATCGTTGCGTTAAACTTATACGCCGACCCCGTCCGAAGGGCGGGTACTCTGCTAGTTCAGTAAATAAAAATTCATTGATAAACCTGGTAACAAAGAAAGAGGAAATTATCAGGTTTCAAATGCACTTTTTTAACTGCACTGAAATTTTCAATCATATTCATTACTTCACAGTGTTTGTGGGTAGGTTCCACACAAGTTTTTCGAATTATTATTATTATTATTTTAACAATTCAACATTACTCTATTTATTCTAATACGCTAGTTTTAGGTTCAACTAACCTCCAGTTATACTTTCAGGGGCCTTATGACCTCGAGATTGAAAGATTAGCAGACTGTAAGGACCAAGGGTCCCGTCAAATTATTATTGGAACCAAAATAACTAAGGCTGGCAGAGGGAAGTATCTGTATAAAGAGAAATTTTCGTTTCTGGTTCCTGTTGATGATGACTTCAAGGTAACGTGTTGATGGTGTGTGAATAAAATCGACCTTAATAGAATCGGTTCTGTGTCTTTGTTAAGATAATTGTCTGAATCCAGTTTCTTTTACCAAATTGTCAAAATATTAACAATGGTAAAGACCGGGACCCGGAACGAATTGACTTTTTTTTACAATAATACAAATAAACATGCATGCTCTCTTTGTTATATATCTAATAAAATCATAACACGTTACCTTTGAAATTAAAATGTCTAGTGTTATAATCTAATGCCACTCGTAAATAATGTGTTTTATAATACGAGATATTCATATATCTCGTATACAAATACATATGTTAATTTTGTTTGTATGGGATTAATTGTTTACCTGGTGTTGGGGTTTCTAATAACGGTATGGTACTTATAGTTTTTTTAAATATTGGATTTGTGTTCTGTGTGTACTGTATGTAAAATATTTCCTTTATTTTCTTGGTAGCGATTTATGCGTACATTTTATTTTGGGTACATTATGTTCCTTTGCTCACTATGCACAGTATGGTAATTATTAACTAAACCTCGATCTTGTAACTTTATATTTGTAAACTAAAGCCCAATTGGTTCAGTAGTTTATGAGTTTATCCCATACATACAGACAGACACACAGACACCAACTCTTCTTTGTAATATTATAGATTTCCCATGCTGCAGCGAAACATCGGGTTTAGTACATGCGTTGTGGATCTAAAGTGGCACTTTTGCTTCCTAGGGAGTAAAAACCCTCTTTAGTCCCTAGGGAGTAAAATTCAGCTGTTGTAAACTCAGTTGTAGGCCTAAACATCGATTTAAGTAATCGCATGTATCAAAACTATGTATTGATTGATTTAATCGTTTGCAGCTTATTCTTGCGTTCTTTTCAATAGTTCAACATATTTATTGCATTATGTATAGAACAATCAGACAAATGATTGAATTACTTAATAGTACAGAGCTGCGTGTTTGCATTAGCACGATTGAAAACAAGTCGGAAGTCGTTTACGAGGTTATTTTTACTTGAAAATTATTCTTGTATTCTAACTTAGTTTGTCAATTAATGTTGCAATTAACATAGTTAACCACACGGACACAACGTGTTTTTTCAACCCTCGTTCATTTTCTGACCTTTAGTCAAAAAGTCACTTTATACCCAAGTGATGAAATATATATTATTATTACTGAAACATTAGCTTAGGTCGAAAAGAGCTACTTTACGCCCTAGAGAGGAAATCATAGATTATAGAGTAGTCTATTGTCAGTTTATAAAGTTATACCAATATTATATAGTTCCCTTCTGGTGTCTAATATAGCTCCTTTTACAATCTTTTAGTTAATATAATTGATAAAAAATAGCTTAAAGTAGCTTAAGAGACAACAAGTTAAAACAACAAAAATATTTTAACCACACACGTGTTCATTGCAGGAATACGTCGAAGTTCAAAAATGGGGAAACGGTGGCTGGAGACCAAAATACATGGAGGTGACTTTGAAAAACTGCGATGAAATTTTCAATGTACTAAAAGACATGTACAAAAACTTGATGAGATCTGCGGGTGTTAGTTTGGAAAAGTGTCCTATCCCTATGGTAAGTAATAGCTATGGTAGTGGTAGTTTATTATTATTTTATACATTTATATAGAATCATTGATTAGAAAGAGTCAAATAGACTTGATCAGACTTTGCTGAGAAATGTTGTCCCAAACATCAAATTTTTAAATCGATGTATCTTATATCTTTATATAAAATTAACAAGACAACTAACAGCCTAGGCTACAAAAAACTGCCTTGAGAGCATTAACATCGAAGTGCTCCGTTGTAACATTGTAAGTCAATCTTAAGAAGGCAAAAACTGTATACTGTTATTGGACAGTAATATTCTCCTCCCTTTTACACGTCAGGTAGAACATTAAGCTACTAAGGACTAGAGGTTTTCATAGCTATAACACACACAGCAGAATAACAATTCTTGGAAGCTGTACAACAAGGTCCCCCTAGAGGTCAGAAGTCTCCGGAGAAATACGTTTGCCAGGGCTGTACGGGATAGGCTTCCCAAAAAGCTTCCTACTCCGTGAAAGATTATTTTCATGACCAGTGCTAATCACCTCCGCAGTCACCCACCAATTTTTATTTGAAATCTTGTTATTTTTACTATAGGGCCCTGTGCTGCTCCGTAGCTTTGAATTATGTTTTTTATTAAATATTGCAGTATCTTGAACTTAACTGATTCAAGTAGCCTTTAATTCTAGGAGTATTTTAAGTCTAAGACATATACAGGGTGCGGCAAAAAACCGATATATTTTATACAGCGCACTGTTCAGCGACAGGTCGTCTGAGAGTGGTGGGGTTGGGCTCGTTGGAAAACCTACTCGATGCCATTATCTGGTCATAGAGCAGTGGTCACCTGAGCAACGTGCGTTTGTTATCGAGTCGAATTAAAAAAAGTATTGATTCAGTCATTGCATGCGCTTGCCAAAATAGTTTTTAACCGTGGTAAATGTGCCCCAGTAAAAACCACCTTACCTCAGATGGTACCTTACATTTAGCTTTAAATACGACGAACCCATATTACTAGGATAGGGCTCTTAGGCAAAACTGTTATCTATCATGGGTTCTCTGCATTACAGGGGAACTACACGGCTAAAGACTTCATCATCGAGTTGAACATTGAAAAAACCGTACCTGTCATGGAGTATGGAAAGTATCGAGCACTTATGAATCTCATATATAAAGACGAAAAAGTTGGATGTATGATGTTCTACGTTGAAGTGGTTCCCAAGTCTTTGGGGTGATTGCAAAGCCTGTTGCCGAACTCTTCTGAATTAAATGTATTCAGTTTCGCTTTATTAAAATATATATATATCTTCGTGGGTTTTCTTACCTTGCATCCATTTTGTCTCATGTCAGGTAACATTCTTTACATAGACCAACTAAAAGGCATAACGAAGTAGTGTGATATTGCTGTATAGTCGAACTAGACATCACTCATTCATTATAAGCTCCATTATGTGACCTTGAAATAGCCTACTTAAGACACATTTTTTAATTTCCAACCAACAAGATTGATACAATCTTTAACCATCTCAAACGTATAAAACTAAACCTGTATATTCCTTCCAAATGTTTTACAACATCTGTTGTTATTTAGGAAACAAATCTTTGTAGAAGTAAAATAAATTTTGTACATGTTAAAAAAATAATTGTAATGTACACATGGTTTTGTGTAAGTGATGATCATCTTACTTGACAGGTTAATAACCCTGTACTTGCTTTGGTTCTCAGTGATAATCACTTACGAAAAGCCTTGTGTACATTACAATGTTTTGAAATATGTTCAAAATTAAATTTACTTCTACTGAGATTCACCTGAGACAGTGAAAGCTCCAGTGATGAATATTTAGTTATAAATATTCCTGCCTTAACTCCTCCAAAGTACACCTGGTATGTTGTAGTGTTGGCAAAGTAAGCTACAAACCTCTGCGTTTACAACATTAGTTTTACGTTAATCATATCAAAAAGCTTTATACACAATACTAAATGAATTGTGTTGTTGTATTTTTTTAAATTAAAAATGTAACAAAACAATAACATAAACATCAACCAAGTTCAGAATCCACAACACAACTGCTAATACAAAATTCGGCACAACTTTCCGAATTGTACAGCCATAACCTGACACAAATTGACAGACAGATTTCTCGGTTTGTTCAGAAACTAGCTTGCACTGTGATTTAGAGACAAAACAACCTAAATATGAAAAATATTTATTTCTAAGATTACAAAAACTTTAGCTTCCGGCTCGTTTATAAGGTAAAGCTTGTATGGTAAGTTACATTGTAGTTGTTAATTATTGACATTAATGGAAATACAGTAGATCTAAAATTGACAATGTCAAAAAGTGAATAGATTATTATTTATTATGTGAGACACACGTAAAACGTGTTAAAACAAAATAGAAACAAAGACAAATGCGATGTTTTATCTACAAAACTTTAACGGAAAAGCATTTTTCACACAACATCAAAGAACGTCGATATGACATTGTTTATTTTACTTACGTTCTCTATCAAAGACTTTTATAATGTTTTGTTACTTTTCATTCGTGTTGATTCTGGATTCATCGCCGAAACACTCTCTAATGATACTATTTTACTATAGTTTTATAAGAAGTGTTGAAAGCCGTGATGAATAAAAAGATTGTCAAAACTAATTTATATGTTCGAATTGATAGAATTTTTTTTTTTTTTCAATATGAAAAAAGATATACACATTGAACAAAAAAAAACTGTAAGTACGAAGTATAAAAAAAAATGATCAATCAACCCAAAGAGTCACAAACAGAAAAATGTGTATTTTCCTATTCGAAGAAGTACACACTTTCAGATAGGTACTTAAATATTTTAAATGCAGTATTGAACTTATCTTAACTAGACCAATTTATATTTATAAGTACAACTAGTAGCCTAACACAGTTTGCAATGTGTTAGTACTAATTATTGGAATATTGTTTTGAATATGCCTATTTGATTTCTAAGAAATTTAGAATGTAATAAAATAATGATTTACATATAATACAACAACAATGTATATTTGTTTACTTTATAAAACCGTTAAATTTGCAATATACCATACGGAATTGTACTTAACAATATTGTGCATTGCAATACTGTTTAGTGTAACCTTATTGCCCAACGAAGATTATTCTTCTCTAGTTTTATTATTTAATGCAAATGTTTTATTAAGACAAATGTGAATCATATTATTAGAAAATCACCTGAGCAAACATAAAATACAAGATATACACGGTTGGAAATCAAAGTTTGCTATATTTCTCGGAAAATACGTTATTAGATTAATTTAATTTACCATTTAAATGATAATTTTCTATTCAACGATCAAATGTAGCTTTTACGCCTATTACTATGAAGTTTTCTCAATACATTTACTATAAAGAATTTTTACTATTATAAATTTAAGTTCATGTCTCACTTTTTTCTACTAAATGCCAATCACATTTATCCCAATGAAACTCCGGTAAACTGCTTTCCGCCAAATATCCTTAATAAATTTAGGCAATTTAAGGAAAAGTCCTGGAAACATTTGAATTTATGTCCTTGGTGTGTTTTTAGGCTATGCTAAATACACTAAGTATATAAATTTACCCTTCATATTTTTCGTAATTAAAAGTATTTTTTAAATATTGATGATTTTTTTCATAATAATCGTCCGCCTATTTATTCTTCTGCCCCTTTTTACTAAACACATGTCTATTAGTATGAAGTTTGTAGCATACTCAGTAAAATTATATTTTAGAACATTATTTTTAAAGAACTGTTCTGTAACAATATACAACCTAAAAATCTGTTTTTAAAAATTTTAGTTTTTTATTTGAACAAAATCTTTTGTTTCTATTAATTTTATGCATGTGAAATTAACATCACACATATTGTCAAACCATGTTCGAAAATTAGTTTTTCAAATTTACATTAAGACCATCTTAAAGAGCTTAAAAACGAATAATTTTGTATACTGAAGCGTTAGATTAAAAGGTAACGGAGAAAAAAAAACTGTATATTATATACAATTTCCATAAATGAAAAGAAAACTGTTGCAGTTACCTTGTTTATGGATACATTTTAATCAAAAGTGGCATATTTATTTATTTAATCGTGTACTGCTTAAATTTGGTCAAAATAACACTTTTAAGCCTCCCATAGCACCAAACCAAAGTACTCGTTAAACCTAATGTTAATTTAATGGGTAATAAATATGGCATGATTATGAAAATGTTCTAGTAAATATCCTATCAGACAAACTGATATTCGCTTAGTCTCCAGGTTTGCTGTGGAGGGGTAGTATTTTCTTTAATGCAAGAACTATTTCCAAATTACCAAAAATATATATATTTTTTTTAATTTGTTAGGCAAACAATCAATATACAGGGTGTTTTTTTAAAAACTTGCATCTTTATTTATGTAAAAACCGCAATAGATAGAAATATGCAGTTTGCGGGAATCATCTATTGACGTAGGGGGACCAATTGTTTTGAATTCAACGTTACATTCACATTCCCCCCCTTTCCCCCCCTGACCCCAACTTATTTTTTTTAAATAGCAAGGTACCCCTTGTGACATATCAAATAAAAGAGCGCGAAAAAAGAAAATGTTTGATGAAAAAAAATGAAAATCGGTCCATAAATTTGTGAGATATGCCCCCCCTCAACCCCCCGGAACTTAATTTTTTTTAATAGCAAAGTACCCCTTGTGACATATCAAATGAAAGAGCATGAAAAAAGGAAAATTTTGGTGAAATTTATTTTTTATTTGATATGTCACAAGGGCGGGTACCTTGCTATTAAAAAACAAGTTATGGGTAGGGGAAAAGGGGGGTGATTATCTCACAAATTCATGAGCCGATTTTAAATTTTTGTTCACCAAAAATTTTCTTTTTTCATGCTCTTTCATTTGATATGTCACAAGGGGTACTTTGCTATTAAAAAAAAATTAAGTTCCGGGGGGTGAGGGGGGGAATATCTCACAAATTTATGAACCGATTTTCAATTTTTTTTCATCAAACATTTTCTTTTTTTATGCTCTTCTATTTGATATGTCACAAGGGGTACCTTGCTATTTAAAAAAAATAAGTTGGGGGCAGGGGGGGAAAGGGGGGGAATGTGAATGTAACGTTGAATTCAAAACAATTGGTCCCCCTACGTCAATAGATGATTCCCGCAAACTGCATATTTCTATCTATTGCGGTTTTTACATAGATAAAGATGCAAGTTTTTAAAAAAACACCCTGTATAATAAAAGGTTGTTATAAAAAATATTCATATAATTTGGAACTGCACAGATTGAATGAAAGAAAATATGTGTCTATATGAATAAAAAACCGAATGTCCTAAACTATTTATAAAGCTAAGCTTGTTTAATTGTTAGTAGCAATGGAAAAACTGTTTAAAACACCACAATTTACAAAGGTTTGATTTAAAATCTATTTCTTTAGTGTCTACAAGTTTTGTGTTCAAGGGTTGTTCTACATTAAATCTAAGGCTTGGCGAGCAGTAAGAAACAGTATATTGGAAAATGTGTCTATGTGAGAAAATCGACAATCTACCTGAAACGTGACTTGCATGTGCGATATTCACTACTACTTTTACAACATTTTATTAGTACTACAACAAAATAAGTTTTTAAATTTGATGTTGACATATATTTTAAAAACAAGTTGTTATGGTAGACATTTCCACAAAAAAAAGTATTTTTTAATTTACCTTACAACTTTATTGTGTTAAAGTTCAATGCAAAAAATATTTTCCTACACACCCGATAAAGTGCACTAATAATCACTAAACGATCCTGTCTTATTTCAGGGTAGATTTTACAGTATGAACATGGTTTTATGGTTTTGCTTATTGATAAAAAGCCTGACAATATAAAATAAATAGAAACATTTTTAACAGTCTTATGAGGTTAATATAGTTATATTTTTTATATTCTGTTTGATAATCAAAAATTAAAGAAAAAACTGACTATTCCTAAGCTGGGTGCAAATATCTTACAGATAAGGAGGAGTGTAGAGAAGAATAAGGAATAATGAAGACTATTTTAAATTTGTTCATTTATGATTATTGAACTGATCTATAACAATACTTACACAATTTTATTTGTTCAAAACATTTTTAAATTTTGACGCATTTATAGATGATCTCCTGGGCAGATAATAAGATTTTAGTCTGTGCCTTCTGAATGCCTGTAATTTACAATTCTAAATCATTTTCCGGAATTT